AATATTGTCTCAAGAGTGAATTTTCGGTTGTACATGGATACAACTGCATGGTTTAAAGTGAAAGCGTACACACACACACACACACACACACACACACACACACATATATATATATATATATATATATATATATATATATATATATATATATATATATATATATATATATATATATATATATATATATATTGTGTGTGTGTGTGTGTTTGTGTGGTATACTCTTTCCACAATAAAACACCAGAAATAAATAAATATGACTGATGAAATATATAATTATGAGCTGATATGTAAAATTAAATATCTAAGATATTTCCCATGCACAGTGAGGTGAATTTTCTAAAGGTCATAGCCAATAGGTGGGCCAAAACCATTATATATTCAAAACTGCAAAATGAATATATATTTAAAATGAAGAGGGAAGAATTGGTTTTATTACTTAGACTAAAAAATAAGAGCAAATTTGATATCAATATGATAACGCGGGTATATATATATATATATATATATATATATATATATATATATATATATATATATATATATATATATATATATATATATATATATATATATATATATGTGTATATATATATATATATATATATATATATATATATATATATATATATATATATATATATATATCCGCTAATATTCCATATACATGTCGTTCGTAAAAGATTTAAGACTTACATGCTTCAAAACTACACGTGGGTCACTTCGCACGTTCCGGGATGATATAAAAGGTAAATGCCCTCAATACGTGACCGATTTCAATGCTCATTTTCAAGTCGATAGCGCATACCGCTGCATGATAATTCCCACTCAGAGGGTGACGAAGCTGATTTTGCTACCAAGGTCACTCACAGGCTGTAATGACGCTCTTACGTGTATGCACCATGTCACGTAACGGAATTGAACCAGCTCAGATTAAGAATTTCGTCATGTAGTGAAGAAAGATTACATTAGAAAGATCGATCTTAGATACTGTTATTTTGCTCACGTTTCATTCATCTACGAATCGGTCATAATGTAGAATGCACTTACGAGATTTTTCTATCATGCATCTGAGGCTGTCACAACAGCAATTAAATCGAATGCTACTGCAGCTACTAATAACGACGGAGTAGAACAAAATGAAGGAATAGCCGTATCAATGTCTCTCTCGTACACCATTCGTACCTTGTTATGGTGATTTGGAGTGTATCGTTATCTTTATACAAATTAAAACTACACATCTTGGGCATCTCAGACCAAGTAACCAACAAGCCATCGGATCCAATGAAGACCTCTTGACCAATGTAAAAAAAATAACAACCTGAAGTGGTATGGTCATATCTCAAGTTTATCTGGACTGGCAAAAGCAATCTTGCAAGGCACAGTGTGAGCGTGGAGAAGAAGAGACAGACAGAAAAAGAGGTGGAAAGACAACATTAAGGAGTGGACTGGCATGGGATTTTGGAGATTCCCAAAGGGCAGTAGAAAACAGGAAAAGATAGAGAGAATTGGTTGTAAAGTCAACAGTAGTGCCCCAACGACCTCTTGGGTTACGTGATGATGATGATGATGATGATGATGATGATGATGATGATGATGATGATGATCAAAACTACAGATGTTTGTAATTTCACGCAACTTAGTGATTCCATGATGTATGAGTCCCTTTCTTGCTAATGTGTATTTTTGTCTAATTACATTATAACGAAAAAACTGTCCATTTGGGCAGCACCACACCCCTACCCCTACACCACCCCTGAAAATTTAGTCATTTGTGTGGATTTGCCTCTCCATGCCCAACATATAAATATCTTTATAGAGTAGTGAACTAATTAGAACCAAATTTTAATCCAGTGGAGAATAAATATCACATAGACCGAGAATGACATGTGCCCTCCCTAACCCCACCGGCCGTACCAATGTGAATAACATAGACATTTTCAAACGTATATTCTTCAGAATCTGTCATGGTAACAACAAAATTTGATCCCAATATATCTTTACAGGCAAATGATTTTATTTCATTTGAGTGGAAATACGGGTTAGTTATTCTATATGTTTATTTACTGCGTTCTTAAACCCGTCAGTATTTAATGTTGGGACCTCAATAGTTTCACATATAAAAGTGGCTGGGATTTAATGAAAAATGATATGGGCTAATGTGTTGTGGTGTTGGTAATAGTATCCTGGTCATATGTTCGTCATGGGTCGAAGGGCGACTCCGTGCTTATATGGGCCAATGTTGCCTATACAAAGGTTATACTGGGTCAAAGAACTGAGGACATGCCTTTGCCTCTCCATGCCCTGCATCTCTGTACATAGATTTAGTCAGATAAATCAACTCCCAAATCTGTGTTGATACTGACTGACGATATGTTAGTCTGATGTCACCTGTTCATTAAAATGTGCAATTTCGTTGCATACAAATCAGTCTGGAACAATCCTGTGTACACTTTAGACACCTACCGTTATATGGTAATAGCTATATCTAGCGCGAAATTTAAAATGGCCACATGACAGATAGTTGTGATATTCTACGTCGATTTACAAGTCACCAAACATTGAATTTCTTCCGGAAATAATATGTACATATCACCAAAAGTATCCTTCAGCGGACGGTAGCTCCACAGCCACAAGAAATACCGTTAATTGTATCAAATGTACACCGATGTGTGCAGACAAAAGAGGATCCAAATAATTGCAGCTTTTAATAATAAATAGGTGATATCACAGTCTCTAACCGGAAATCAACATCGTAACAGGCAAGGGGTTAATTTATCGATTTAAGTTATATTATTTGGATTTCAATGTGTTAAACAAATTGCACTATCAGGTTTCATTGTCTGTAACCGCAAGCAAGGAGAGAAATTATAATTCTAAAATTATTGTCACACCCAACGCTCATCATTCTATCACTGATACAAATTTCTTGTTCATCATCCTTTCTTGCTTACAAACTTACATCACAATTATACTCGTGCTTTTTTGAAAGATAATAATAATAATAATAATAATAATAATAATAATAATAATAATAATAATAATAATAATAATAAGAAGAAGAAGAAGAAGAAGAAGAAGAAGAAGAAGAAGAAGAAGAAGAAGAAGAAGAAGAAGAAGAAGAAGAAGATACGCATTGGTGAAATTTCAAGTGTGCGTTTCCAAATGTAGTTTAGGTTTCCTAATCTGTGTGTGCACGAACGGTTTCAACGCCATTTGTATAGACATACAGAGCAACACTACTTGCTTAATATATTTTGAAAAACAGTGATCTGTGTACATATATTCCTCCATGTTGCTTCTGGAGGAATAGAAGAGTCCAATGAGCTTTAAGGGAACTGAAGCGAGACACAGATAAACAAACTTTGCTCCACATTTCACAAATCATATGACAAACTGAACTAGTTGTTGCAGACGATATTTGTTTGCCTATGGCACGCAACGGCTCCCTTAACCCATTCGTGCCTGTATAAAAACTGACTTCCCCAATGCTCCAAAACCACCATGGCAAATTACACGTACACAGGGTACTCTTTATCAGCATTTACCGAGTCAGCAAAGTTGTAGGTCGATACCAATGGTGACGAAATTATTAGTGCTCGAAACAAATTAGGTAATTTGCAGACCCACTTGAAAATTCACTTAAATACAGATGCAGATATCATTCGCAATGCGGAGCTGAAAGAAATTTTAATAGGTGGTAATTGTCGATTTTCTCGCCCGCACATAAAACACAAACAAAACACGATATATTAACGAAATAAAAATTCCCAAAATCTGCATTTAATATCTGTTATATATGACCATCTTGTGCATGGGTACACATGAGCTTTACTGGGCAACATTCGTACTACTGCGAATAAACCGTTACATATATCTATATTGTGTGTTTAACATTTGTTCCAGATTGTAGATTGTAAGGATAATTTGTAAGAAACATATTGTTACAAGTCTATGCTCTTACAATAAGTAACAGAAAAGAGTAAAGACAGCAAGTGTTGTAAAATTCAATAAATAATTTATTTCTGTAGAATACTAAGTGAAAAAGAGAAAAAAGAAATTACGGTTTTACAAATCAAATCCAACATAATCCAAGAATTAAAAATAGAAGTCATAGTAATAAAATGTCCTGAATGAAACTGTGTTCGAATCCCAATGAAATCCAAAATGGAAGGTGATGACATTTGTTGTAACCTTCAAAGTGTAGGTGCATCAACTGTTTCTAATTGAATTACAGAAAATATTATTCCAGTTTTCAATTCCGTATAAATTCCAGAATCTGTCATTGTCCAAAATTGTGTCAGTGCACTTACGTATTTCCAGGGAAAATAATTAAAATTCAATAACATAAAACTTCCACTCAAACTGGGCACAATATAAGAACAACTTAACGTATCATTTGGTTGGTGCTCGACTGAACTAAACTCAACCAACACAACAGTTATAAACTAATTTAAGATGCATAACAGATTCCCGGTTGAGAGTCACTCTTGTTGAAAAATTAGAAGTTTGAAACAATAAACACCTGTTTCATATAATGTACTCCAGGTCTGGTCTTTACATAACTTATTGATTCCTAATCTGCGAAAGAAATTAAAAAATAAATAAGTTGTTTACCAAAATTATCATTGACTCTGAAGCAAGGTCAGAAACTAGATATAATGTTTATAATTTTGCTTGCTTATCAATGAAATAAAAAAACAGGTCAAACACAACTGAACTGAATTTCTGGACAATGTCAAACCTAGTAAACAAAATTACATTACAGTAACATGTAATGTGATGTGAGGTGATTATGATATTTAACTTAGCTTTAATAATATTTCAGCCATATTGCTACGATGTCTGCAGTGTGGCAGTTTATAGTGATGTAGCAGACATGTAGCATTATGTCCACCCAGTCACATTATCCTGACACCAGGCCGACCAGTCCAAACACTAACCTCTTAATGCTGTGCGTCAAGCGAGGCAGCTGTTAGAACCATTTTTGTAAGTCTTTGTTATGACTCGACCGGAGCTCGAACCCACGACCTCCTGCATCCGAGGCGGACGCTCTATCCACTATGCCACCGGAGCTGTGTATAACATGTAATGGAACTTTTAAAAAATTAAAACAAACATTTAGTTTCCAATTGTAAATTATATGGTCTACCTGGTTTAAGTCAAGTGTTCGCTAAAATTTAAGTAAACAAACCTGATCCTGTTTACGAATTTATATGAATATCCATTGCAAATGACCTGGATCCAGCGCATTTTGTTGTGTCATAAGTCAGGTGACAGCCTGTATATAAAAAAGAAGACGTTCACAAATTTCATTCATATTTTAATATCAGTCTTTCAGTTGTGTTCGTTTAATATTTGAGATGAATCATGTATTAAATTATTCATTGGAATTACGAATGGCTCATTGACATTTTGAAGTAAAACATTACTTTGGGATTATTTTGAATTAATTCAAAGACATTATATATTATATCACTGGGATATATCAAGTCAGTCAGTACATCGGCTAATTCAAGACTATTGGTACATCAGCACATTCAATGCTAACATTCATTAAGAACATCACTAACAAAACAAAATACCCTCGAGTACCTGCGCCATGGTGATATTTTAGTTATGAATATTTTAGTCATGTAGCATGATGCCCAACCCAGTCACATTATCCTGACAACAGACTAGCCAGTCCTAACACTACCCTCCTAATGCGGAGCGACAAGCGAGGCAACTGTTAGTACCATTTTTGGTGTGACTCGGCCGATGATTGAACCCACGACCTCCCGCATCCAAGGCGGACGCTCTAACCACTAGGCCACTGGAGCGATTACAGATGAAGAAGAAAACTGGATATGATATGTATGAACATCACAGATGAAAAGATAAGAGTTTAATGAGGCAAATGAGTTCAACAACAACAATGTTAATGATTTGCTGTAATGGGCAATGACTCTTCAATGAACTATTAAGAGAACAAGAGTCGGTAATATAGTAATTAAACAACCTACTTTTGTTCTTTATACGAGTCATGCATGTGATGACGGAAGACATGATTTAATTGATCCAGATACTAAGGCAAAACTTTATAAACTAAAGCAATTTAAGATTTTATCATTTTTCAGTTTGCATGGTTTGAGTAGGCGATATTCAATATCAAACTGAGCTTGCTATTTTAGGTTTTAAAAGTGGCCCAGAATCTTTATTTACTATCTATTAATGCTGGCGATTAAAAGGTGTGGATAAAGGTTAGGAATTTGTCTCTCAAAGTACAACTTTAAGTAGGTGACTTAGATAAACCAAGTACGACGGGTCAAACATTACTCCTTCGCTAAGTGCTTTGGTATCAATTACTACCATTCCATACATACAACCAGGGCTATAAGATAGTGGAGATAAATAATTGTGTTATTGGACATAGATAATGTAGCCGATTTAACTATTCAATGCGGTGACAGCTATTCTCCCAATGCGGTGACATTCTCAAAAAGCTGACATATGTCATATCCTAATATGACATTAATGATTCTATCTCACTACTGACGACACATAGCTTTCTACCATAACTGAAAAAAAAAACATTTGCAGAAAAGGAAGTACCCTGTACATTGATTTCAAACTTCTTTACTTGCGGAATCCAAAAGTTTTCCATCTGAAATCTTCGAGGCATATATATTATATTTAGGCATAAAGAGCCAGGCTGCATAAAAACAGGTAACACGAATTTGAATTGTTTGAACGTGAGTATTTAAATATTAAATTTGATTACTTGACCAGGATATATCCGTTTAATTGCTGCCCTTTAACTTTACTTGAACTACTTAATATTTTCACCCCAATGCCATTTCATATGCTTCATCAACCAGCTTACTTGCACAGCCTCTTAAAGACAACGACTATTTTATACAAGGAAAGAAAATTAAACATGAAAACGGGAAATATGAACAACATGTGTATTTGATTAATATACTAAGAAAACGATCATTTGACTTGTCGTCAAAATAAAGTCTCTCTCTCTCTCTCTCTCTCTCTCTCTCTCTCTCTCTCTCTCTCTCTCTCTCTCTCTCTCTCTCTCTCTCTCTCTCTCTCTCTCTCTCTCTCTCTCTCTCTACAACATGTGTACAAGTAAAGAACAGAGCATGGCACAGAGCTGTTACTCAAGTTGTGAACACTGACAATTCCCTAATAGTTTGACTCAATGTACATTTTGGCTGAATAACTACAAATTCGTTGCTGTTGCAGATTGAGCAATATTGTCTTCATTTACGTTATTATGAACCTAGTTGAACATGGATTATATTTCAACAAAGTCGGTATTACAAAGTTTGTTTGTGTTTGAATATGGTGTTCTAGCACATATACTTTAGATAATCTTATTTCGATGAAAAACTGCTTTTCTATCAACTAATGTTTTTTTCTTCATTCCGTGTGTATGCACTTTAAAACTCAATAGCCCTTATTGTTTTCCATCCGAGTTTGGTCAACATTTTAAGCGCAAATGGATTTCTTTAAAGTGCGTTCTTGTTCATTATTTTAAGTAACTCTCAAATCATTATATCTAGATTTTCACATTCTTTTCAGTATCTACAGCGGAGAAATATATCTTCCTCACATGTCTAGATGCGAAAAGGTAGCTTTGCAGCTATAAAAAAACCCATATGCCATGGTCTTGAAACTTCTCATTAGTTTCATTGTTGCGACTTGTTTGAATGAGTGTTTGACCCTTTTGTTTCCTGTTTTGGTGTCTAGAAACTAGGCTTCCTGCTTCTCACTGGATTCCAACGAAATGTGATACTTAGTATATTCCATCACACTGAGATTTTATCTAAGTAGTTTAAATTTAATTTCCCACACATTATATAAATTCTAACAAGAGCTGCCATGTCCCCTCAAAATTAGATCTAAACCTTTTTATCTACAAGTACTGTGCTTTTTCTTCACATTAAACATAGGTTACTGTGGCCTAGTGATTATGCATTACCAACGTTATGAGGAAAGGGGTTTCTTTGCTCTTTGAAAAGTGAGGCGGATGCAGTCATGAAATCTGACCGTCTTCACAGGACTGATATAAAGCAATGTGAATCAAGCAATGAATACACACGCAAATGAATAAAGGTACAAAAATAAGCATATATAGTTTCATAAATACGGTTCAATTTTTTTATTTTTATCTTTCCAGTCCATGATCAATTTTAGTTCAGAACTGAAATACAGCTGTATCTTTTGTTAAATGAAAAAAATCCCCTGGTTCAACAAAATTAGTGATTTAATTGATGCTTGTACGAACCTTATATCATCCAATATGTATGGGGGTATTTGTTCTTTGTTTTAATTTTTTTGTATCCTGATTCTTTGTTTGGGTTTTTTTATTGAGGGGGTCACTTGCACTACCAAATGGTAACTAGAAGCTATTGATTCATAATGTCCAAGTTTACAATTTTTGTGACTTTATTCGAATTATGACAATATACTCTCAAGATGGCTCTATTTCTTTTTGTTTATCTTTCGTCCCTGTATTTCCCCTGGTGTTGGTTGCTGACTTAAATGTTCCAATTAAAAAAAAAAACCTTAACGGGAAAGCAAAACAAGAAGGTTAAATAATGTCGAATCAATTGAAGTAATGTGCTTTACCTAAGGAAAGAGTACAGTAAATGACCAGGGCTAGTCCTACTTTAGGATTCGAACCCACACCCTTTCGGTTGCAATTCCAACATGCTAACCACTTACATTTGGCGGTTTCTTTTAATATATGGAGTGTGGTTGTTTTTATCGTTTTGGATTTGATTATACCAAAGGACAAGCGTGTAATGTTAAAACTGTACTACATTTAATTCATTTCTCCAAAGCCCTGTGATTTTAGTACATGTAATCTACAGATTGTTCGACTATATTAGATTGAGAAGAAATTACCGCGAGACTTATGGCCCAACATGTCATAAATCAGTCAGTCCCCACAGCAATGTTGTGTCAAATAACATGCTAATTCATGGTTCTCAAATAACTGGAATGTTTGTTCTGCTGGGGTGTAATGAAAAACGATAATGCAACCAATAGTTTTGGCTACGTGAAGTTAGAGGATGATGATAGAAGGTTCCTTTGGCGCCTATATCCTTTGCATCGAAGTGACAGGAATTCAATGCATTTCATTACCGTTTTGTACAATGCATTTCATAGGCGGAAAGCTGAAGTTTGCGCTTCGGACTCCTCGGTCATTATAGTAAGATAAGGTTGACTATTTTTTTAGGATCGTCTGTTATAAACGTTAAGTACCATAAAACCTATTTTTACGATGCTATATTCGACTTTTAAGTACGTCATAACGGACATAGACATTTTAGGTCTATAGACTAAATAACAATTTTAGGAAAAGGTTTGTATAACTTATGACTAAATAACAATTTTAGGAAAAGGTTTGTGTGACGTATTATTCAATATAATTTTAATACTAAATAAATGGACGCCCAAATTTTTTCGGGACGGGGTGGGGGAGAATATTTTGTACATCTTTTTTCGTGCAAAAATAAATAAAGAATGAGAAAAGAAATATTAGGTAAAATAAAGTACCTAATATCTTACTTTATCTGTTAAAGTTTTAAGGAACGGCCATTAATTATGTCGACAATTGTTAGGCAATTTTTTTTATCCACCTACCCCTTGTCAACAACTGTCAAACTTTCTGTGATCCCCCTAGCAAAATTATGTCAAATCTTCCCCTACAAAATAGCAATATTTTATACGGCTGGTTTTTATGCTAAAATAGAATTCTGGAAATAAAAGGTATGCAAATAAATTGCAATACATTTTTTTTTTTGCTTGTTTAACAGATTTCAAATTCACTATAACACTCTGAATTCAGGAAATAAATCGAGATTTTAATTTCTTGCTTCTATCATCTTCCCATGGGGAAGCCAAATGTTCCTCAATTGTTCTAATGGGCATAGTGGTTGTTGATTCATTAATTTCTTGTGGAACCAATACACCCGACAAGTCAACTGAAAAGTAGATGTGCTTTATCATTCACTACATGATTGTGTTATGTTTATCCACTGAATTATGTTCTATATGACATGTGTTACAATTACC